TGGGGTTGAGGAGCACCGGCAGGCTCTGGGGGGCAGGGCTGGGATAGTGGGGGGCTGCAGGTTGGGGTTGAGGAGCACCGGCAGGCTCTGGGGGGCAGGGCTGGGATAGCAGGGGGCTGTGGGTTAGGATTGAGGGGCAGCAGCAGAGCTGGGGGCACAAGGCTGGGCTAGTGAGGGGGCTGCAGGTTAGGAGCAGAGCTGGGGGTGCAGGCCTGGGATAGTAGGGGGCTGTGGGTTGAGGGGGGCACTGGCCCAGCTGTGGGGGGGAATCTCACAGACACCCTCAGGCCCACCCAGGGCCTGGACCTTCCTTTTCTGGGAGAACCCCCCGCCCTCCTCTTTACACCAAAGTGCTGATAAATGGTTTAACCCCCCCAGGTGAAATCCCCCTCTTTTGGGGTGAGATGGTTCAACCCAACCCTGCAGCTGCAGTTCCAGCTACGTGGTCAGTAGGTGGCGCCCTGGCGCTGGGCCGGGCATGAGGTAATGTGGTGGGAGTGGGGAGGGGGCCGCGAGGGCCCTCGAGACGCTACGCTCCTGGGAGCTCGCGCTGCGGCTCAGACTCCCCGGCTGCAAAAGCCAAGGAAGTTGGTTGGGGAGGGTGCAATAGGCAGGAGGGAAGGAAGCAACTGGGCCGTGCAATGGGGCGCCGCTTCCCGGCTTTGGAAAGGGGACGTCGCGCTGGGTGACGGCTTGCATGTCCCTGTCTGCGTCCGGGAAATCCCGGCCACCCGGAGTCCTTTAAAACCAGGAGAGCAACAGGGAGGTGGAGCTGCTGCTCATCCCGTGCAAAGGGGGGGGGAGGGGGGGGGGGGGGGGGAAAAAAACTAGAGCATGAAATTTCGAGAAGGGCTTGTGGCAGAGGAAAGCAGCAGCAGGAGGCGGAGGAGCTGCAACTGGTGTAACTAAAGCCCCCGCCTCCAAAAAAGAAACCCAGAGCGAGCTAATTCCCCCTCCCGGGAGCCCCATTGCAGAGCAGCGCCCCGTGGCCGGGTCCTGGCGGATGGGTGCAATGGCTGGGCGCCGCAGGGGAGCTCCGGGGGGGCACGTTGCAGGGAGGGGGGAGTGAGGGCGAGCTGCATATCCCCCCCCCCGAAAAAGCAGCCCGGAGACCCCCCCCCCCCCATTTGTTGAGGTCTGGGGCCCATGCGGCGCTGAGCCCCGGCCGGCGGAGCCATGCTGCTGGCCTCGGCCGTGGTGGTCTGGGAATGGCTCAACGAGCACGGCCGCTGGAGACCCTACAGCCCGGCCGTCAGCCACCACATCGAGGCGGTGATCCGGGCCGGGCCGCGGGCGGGCAGCGTGGTGCTGGGCCAGGCGGACCGGCGGCTGGCGCCCTACCTGCTGGACCTGCACTCGATGCACCAGTTCCGCCAGGATACCGGTGAGTGGGGAGGGGGGCGCCCAGCGTGACCCGGATCGCCCTGCGCTGCCGGGGGTGGGGCGGGCCCGGCCTGACCCGGATCGCCCTGGGGAAGGGGAACCCGGCCCGGAGTGTCTCGTCCCTGTCTCGGGTCGTTCTATCTGTTTATTGCCCTGGTCCATATCGCGCTGTATTGTCCGGATTGAGGGGCATTGGCAAAGCTGTGGCGGGAGTCCAGGGCTGGGATAGCAGGGATTGGGGGGGTCGGGATTGGGGGGCACTGGTAGAGCTGGGGGGGGGTTCCCCCAAAGCGTGGCAGGGTTGGTGCCTGTGTTTTATTCCGTCCCCGAGACTGGGAGGCTGGTGTTCCCGCAGGGAGGCAGCCCCCGGTCTCGCGACGGGAAGGATGGGGGTGCGTGGGTGTTTCCGAGAACCGGAATATACCCAGGAAAGGCGGCTTGCCTGGGAATCCCTGGGCGCCTGTGAGCTCACACGGAGCTGGGGAATCCCCAGTGCATCCCGAGAGGAGGTTGCCGGTGGGGCAGGGTGTGGAGCAGTGCGAGCCCACCCTGGCACCAGGCTGTGGGTGGCCAGTGCACTTGGGAGGGGGGTAGTGGAGCCAGGGTGAGAAGGGACTGGAACGGGGAGAGGTGGCAGCATGGGGAGTGCCAGGGGCACAGAGGGGTTTGGCAGTGGGGAAGGTCGGAGCTGGAGAGGACCCCAAGCAGCTGGGATGGGGATACCCCTGACAGCACAGGGGCTCCCGGCTTTATGGCAGCCCCTCCCTGCTTTGTTATGAAGCGGGGAAGTGCTGCCTCTTGGCCGAAGCTGTGCCGCTTGAGAGGACAGCGCAGAATCCGGCTGTTGGCATAGGGAGGGGCGCCGGCTGGGGCTACTATGGGGCCACGATGGTTGGCTCCTCGGCTAGCGCCTCTGGCACTCTCAGCTTGGTGCCATGTGCGGCCCCGTAGATGCAAGGGTATAAGCTGGCTTTGGGGGCAGCACTGGAGACATCAGTGGCCCTGGCCAGAAATGAGTGGTGGCATGTGCGTGGCCCGACATGATGCTGGGGAAGATGGGCACCATGCCCCTAGCCCTGGATGTTCCCAAGCAGGATGGATCGTGATCTGGCGCCGCTCTTCCCGTGGGTTCCTCTCCCCCATGGGGCGCGGCTCAGCTCCCTCTCCCCATCCTTCCCGCTGGCCCTGTGTCTGCTCGGTTCAGGCTCCTCCAAAATCACCCCACTCAGTGGGCTAGTCACCATGGAGACAGAGGCAAGTTGTCTGTCCAGGTTCATTGGGGCCAGATTTTCCTCTGGAAACTGTCTGGAATAACAGCCCCCCCACACACACACCATTACCAGTGATGGAAGGGCCAGGGATCCATTGTTCACAGTCTGTCCAGAAAGGTGACCGGGTGAGCCAGCACAGAGGAGTGGGAGGGAAGCGGTGACCCCCAGGGGGATGCCTGGGAGGGAGGCGGTGACCCAGGGTGCGGGCAGCCCTTCCGGATGGGGTGCTGGTTTTGCTCTTGGCGTGACACCCCTTCAGAAGCTACCGGTGCCCGTGGCTGGGGGCTGTGATCCGAAGGTGATTGTGCCTGTCCTCGGATCCCTTTTCATTTCCTGTGTGGCTGGGGAGGGTGCCACAGCCCTCCAGGTGAACTGCCCCTTGGGGAGCTGGTGCTCCTGGCACAGAAAGTTAAGCCCACCCCACCCCCAGCTCTGAGATCTCCCTTGGGGTGATAGGGCCCAGGGGAAGGGCTCTCCATTTTTGTACAGGTCTGAGATCTGCAGACAGCAGGGCCCCCCATCTGCTTCGGTGGGATGGGGAGTCGGTTTCCAGTGGGGGCACCCCTACATACATGGGGCTCCCAGAGCGCACCCCCTCTTTCCCCAGGTTCCAGCTGAGAGGAAGGCGGGGGAGTAATAGTGAAACGGGCTCTGATGGAGGGAGGGGGATGGGATGGTGGCGGATAGAGGGGGGCCCCCGCCCAGCCCTGCCGCTGGGCTGAATGGGGAATTGTTCTGCCTCTGGCTGGCTTGTTCTGAATGTTGTTATTTTGGGTCATTAAGGGGCTCTGATGTGGGGGGTCACGACCCCAGCTGAGCCTTGAATAGCTATTGTCCCTTTTCTTCCTTTCTTGAATGGGAGGCTGGCCGCACGTCTCTGGTTAGGGGAGGGGAGGGGGGACTTTCCCACAGGATTGCTGCATGGCACTGGACCTGCCAGATGCTGAATGCCAGCACTGGCTTCTTCCCCTTCTCATCTGGGATTATAATAAATTACAGATGCTGTTCGGAGCTTGGTTTCTCTCCCCACACGCAGCTCCCTCAGCAATTCCCCCTTTGTCCCCCACACGTCTCATTGTGTGGCCTTTCTCGAGGGGGGAGAGTTAAAATATTTTTTACTGAAAACTCAGACTAATTGGCTGAGGAATTCCGTCAAGCTCGGAGTTCGAAAAATCAGGTGGGAAGCGGTCGAACTCCCTTCACCCGCCGTGTTAATTAAAAAATCCTAGCGTGACCTCCCATGGAGATTTAATGAAGTGCTGGAGCTGACAAAGTGGGGGGCTGTACCCCAAAATTGTAGCACTTTAACTATACACCGGTGCTTATGCTGTGGTAGCTGTTGCCATTTGGGAAGAGGCAGAAGCTATACCAGTATAAACCGTGTTAGGGGTTGTACGGATATAAACATTAAGGTAGAAGCTCACCAGAATAATTATAGTGGTACCAAACTGGTGTGTGGGCCAGGTCTGAGACTTCCTTGTGCTTTACAGCATGCTTACGGGCATGTTACGGAGCACCGTATGTAATTAAAGTTAAACTCCAGATTATCCTTTCTTTGTTCACATGCTGAGCTGCAAAATTCAGCGTTTTCTAGTCTACTTCCACCGTTGCAGTGTCTGGGTGCCTCACAATCTCTAATATTTAGCCACACGCACCCGTGTGTGTGTGTTTCTGCTTTACTGATGTGGAACTGAGGCCCAAAGAAACTAAGGGACTTGCCTAAGAACTTGCAGGAAAACTGTGCCAGAGCAGGGAATTGATCTTGGGTGTCCTAAATCCCAGGCTGGTACCCTAACCTTTGGACTGTCCACCCTCGATGGGATTTCTAATGGGAATAGATTCATAGATTCATAGATTCTAGGACTGGAAGGGACCTCGAGAGGTCATCGAGTCCAGTCCCCTGCCCGCATGGCAGGACCAAATACTGTCTAGACCCCCTGCCCGCATGGCAGGACCAAATATTGTCTAGAATCTGTCATTAGTGTTGATTAATGTGGTTCTACTGCTGTGTTGTTTTTTTAAAGTCTCTAGAAACTTTTTATTTTTGGGAACGCCCTATCTCACAAAGTGCAGGTCCAGCCGCTGCCCATTTGTTTGGCGCAGTAGTGACTGGGTGAGGTGTAGCATATAAGGCTAAAGGTTAGTTTTTTCATGAGAAGTTTGATCCTGCAATATCGAAGTCAGTGGAGGTTGTGCTGCTGACCTTGGTGGCGGTGGGCGCAAGAGGGGAAACACAACAGAGTGGTTATGTGCCACAGAAATCTCTCCCTTCGATCTCATGCTATCAGAATAAGTCCAGCAGGGTTTTAAAACTCGACACTGTCAGAGTTCGTGAGATTCACCAACTGAGCTGCGTTGGGTCAGAGAGGATCCAGACGGCACCCACGGAGTACTGGATCTGAGTGGTGTCTTCTTGTGTTCCATTGCCTAACATGGTTTGGCTTTGCAGGGGCTGTAGTCTCACGTTTATTGCCTTGTGACCATTTTTCTGCATCAGTGTCATAAAACGTTTCCTTTTAAAAACTAAGGAAATTCCCAAACGTACAATTGTGTGAAGGCTACAAATGGAGGTTGGTTCTTAAAACGGGAAGAGAAATTTTGTAGTAATTTTAACAACAAAACATCTGAAATTCAGGAATCGCCTAGATGAGGTTCCACAAACTAACTGGACTCTGCACTTTTACCAATGCCTGTCCTCTACCCATCCCCCACTCCTTTCTACCCCTATCCTGCATCCACATTCTCAATCTGCACCGCAAACCTTGAATTACCAAAAATACACAGATTTCCATTACACCGTGCCAGGGATGAAACGAGTTGCCGGGGCTCAGCCCAATTCTGGGGTGCCCACACACAAAGAACTAGAGCTCACTGGGACTCTCCCAATACTGAAGTCGCATGAATTTTGGGTTCTGATTCATGCTGGGATTACTATCAACTACCGTAATGTAGATACACTTCTACTCCTCCATTCCCACCTCTCCATGGAGCAGCAACTCACACTTAGGCCTGGTCCACACTACCCCCCCACTTCGGACTAAGGTACGCAAATTCAGCTACGTTAATAACGTAGCTGAATTCGAAGTACCTTAGTCCGAACTTACTGCGGGTCCAGACGTGGCAGGAAGGCTCCCCCGTCGATGCCGCGTACTCCTCTCGCTGAGCTGGAGTACCGGCGTCGACGGCGAGCACTTTCGGGATCGATTTATCGCGTCTAAACCAGACGCGATAAATCGATCCCAGAACATCGATTGCCTGCCGCCGGACCCTCCGGTAAGTGTAGACGTACCCATAGACTCTCCTTCCATTCAGCCACCTATCAGAGAGAGACATCTCTGCTCTTACCCCTCCGCCTACAGCCCAGAAATAATGCTGCCCTGGATACCTGTGGCTTGGCTCTGCTACAAAATGTAGCCGCCTCTGAATATAGTCCTCTACGACTCGCATAGCTGGGCTGGGACTGAGTGCCATAGACGGTGTCAAACTGTATTCAAGTCCAATTCAACGAATGTCATTGCTGCAAACAGCATTTGGAGATGGTTATGTTTGGGAGGAAATCAAAACCAAGGGGACAGAAAGCTCAGGCTGCCTGTTCTACTCTGTTGATTACAATACACCTTGTATTGGTATCCTCCACATCAGCAGCAGACTCCAAAGAGAGGTGGGGTCAGAGTTAAGGCCGTTTGTGGAACCATGACTGTATATATTTTGTGTCTTTTACAGAGTTTAAAAAAAAAAACATTGTTTGTAGCCCATAAAGGCACCAGCTCCAATTGGGCCTCATGGTGGAGGGTGCTGCACAGACCCTCAGCTTGTCTATGCTCCCAAGTTCCATTGGTCTCACGTAAATCGGTTTAGTCAAACGAGTGCAACTTCTGAGTGGACTCGTGTACCAGCTTCATGCTGGGTATATTTGTTTAGCTTGTGCTTGTAAATCTACTGATGAGGGACAAACTACTACCAGATGGATTAAGGCCTGGTCTACACTTAAAATATTTGCTGGCATAGCTATGTTGATTAGGAGTGGGGAGGGGAGGGGGAATCACACCTCTAGTCAACATAACGGTGCTGGTAAAAGCTCCAGTATAGATGAAGTTACACTGGCAAAAAAATGTCCTTTTGCTGGTTTTGTTCAGAGAACAGATATAAACTATACCAGCAGAGGAACTCTTGCTGGCATCAGCTGTGTCTCCAGTAGGAGGGTTTGCCAGGATCGCTATACCGGCAAACGCTTTCCTTTGTAACAGTGTGGCTAATGAACCGTTCGATCAATTTAGAAAGGCTCACGGTGGATTCTCCATCACTGGTCATTAAAAGTTCTGCTCCGGGAATTGTTTTGGGGCAGGTCTCTGGGCTGTGTTAGACAGGAGGTCAGACAAGATGATCGCAATGATCCTTTCTGGTCTTGGAATCTATGAATCTAGTGGAGACGAGGCCTGATGGAAGAGAGTCCACAAGCACAGTTGTGCTGATAAATAAACTGGTATAAAATCAGCCCTTCCCCTTAAGCTGATGCGACTTTGTTTGAAGTGCAAGAAACAGTCTTTGCCCCTAAGAACTTAAGTCCAGATCCCTAAAGGTACTTAGGTGCTTAATTTCCATTAATTTCAATTGTAGTCTAAGGCAGTGGCTCTCAACCTTTCCAGACAACTGTACTCCTTTTAGGAATCTGATTTTTCGTGCGTATCCCCAAGCTACACCTCACTTAAAAACTACTTGCTTACAAAATCAGACATAAAAATACAAAAGTGTCACAGCACGCTAATACTGAAAAATTGCTGACGTACTCATTTTTACCATATATATAAAAAAAACCCAATTGGAATATAAATATCATACTTACATTTCAGTGTAGAGTATATAGAGCAGTATAAACACGTCATTGTCGGTATGAAATTTTAGTTTGTACTGACTTTGCTAGTGCCTTTTATGTAACCTGTTGTAAAACTAGGCAAATATCTAGATGAGTTGATGTACCCCCTGGAAGACCTCTGCGTACCGCCAGGGGTACACGTACCTCTGGTTGAGAACCACTGGTCTAAGGCTGTGGCATCTTGCTTTGGGCTGGTTATGTCTTGTACCTCCATCCCCTCCCATGGAGGCTGTGGGTCCCTGGCTCATAACGCCTGTCCCTTCCCAGGGATGTTCTTGGGGAGTAGGTTATGGGCAATGTGTGTAGCCTGGCTACCACAGGCTTTTATCATCTCTCTGTTTCTCCCTGCTCTCCCCAGGCACCATCCGCCCGGTGCGGCGCAGTTACTATGACCCCTCGTCGGCGCCGGGCAAGGGCGTGGTGTGGGAGTGGGAGAATGACAGCGGCTCATGGACACCCTACGACATGGAGGTGGGCATCACCATCCAGCACGCCTACGAGAAGCAGCACCCCTGGATCGACCTCACCTCCATCGGCTTCTGCTACGTCATTGACTTCAGCACCATGGGCCAGATCAACCGGCAGACCCAACGCAAGCGCCGCATCCGCCGCCGCCTCGACCTGGTCTACCCGCTGGTCACCGGCACCCTGCCCAAGTCCCAGTCATGGCCGGCCAGCCCCGGCGTTTCCAGCTCACCCCCCACCCCACCCTGCACCTGCCCCCAGTGCCTTCTGGTCATGAGTGTCAAGGCGGCGGTCGCGGCTGGGGCCAATGGCGGGACTGGCACCGCAGTCCCCCAGCAGCAGCAGCGTAAAGCCACCGCTCTATCGGGCGGCCCCAAGCCTCCCGTTCCAGCGCCTGGGCTCAAGCCCCCGGATGGCACGGCCACCACGCGTGGCCCACTGAAGACCCTGGCATCCCAGGTGGGCCGGAGGCAAGCAGCCAGCACGCCGGCCCTGAGCTCGGCCAGCTCTGCCACAAGTCCACCTGCCGCCAATGGGAAGGTCTCGCGTGCCAGCCTCAACACCCTCAACCGCACCCACCTGCAGCGCCTGGCCATCGCCCAGTCCCGTGTGCTGATAGCCTCCGGGTGAGTGAGCGAGCGAGCGAGCAAGGTTCCCCCGGGGTTCTTAATAATCAGCCTGGGTCCAGGGTACCCACATCACCCTGCCCTCCAATAGCTGGCGCTAATTGGCCTCTTAGCCAAGGGTCAGTGAAGTGGGCTATGGAGGCTGTTGGCAGGACTGTGCATGGGGGAGGGGGAGAACTTGCCCTGGTGTAACCTGTTCAGTCCCCACTCTGGGAATGAGCTCCAAGGGCTGCCCCGCTGACCCTTTCAGCTGTGTTCAGTTAACATCCATTGAAAGGAGAGCCTGCGTCGGGGTCCCGCTGTTTGCTTCCGGTGCCCTGCACCCTTGGCCTTGTCCGTGGGCATCTGTGCTGCCACTATAGCATGGGTCTGTCTGTCATGGCCACCCGTCTGGGACCGTGCATCCGCTGCCTCGATCTCGCGCTGTGTCTGTACTTTCATAGAATCATAGAACATTAGGGTTGGAAGAGACCTCAGGAGGTCATCTAGTCCAATCCCCTTTCATTTTGGTGTTGCTGTTGTTTTGCTTTAAAGGCCGTCGGCAGTCAAGGCACCAAGCTGGCATGGGACAGGAGGCCAAGTGTTGTCGTAGATCAAAATCTGGATAGGAGTCAGAAAGCAAAAAGTAGGGTCCAGTGGTCAGTTCTCATCCCAGCAGAAGGTGAACAGAGGGATATAATTTCCATAGTAGATCCTGTGGTATTTTATATATTTATTAGTGATCTGGAAAGGAGGGTGGACAGGAAAATGTGCAGAAGACACAAAGGTATTTAGGTTAGTTAGGACCAGAGAGGGCTCCGATGGAACGTCAGAGACACCCAAACAAGCCTGCGGAATGGGAAACATGATGATAAATGAAGTTGTGTCAATAAATGCAGTGTAATGCACACTGGAGGGGAAAATTTAAACCACTTGTGCACTGTACATTAATCGCATCAGCGCAGGAATAAGTTGTCATTATAGATAGCTCAGTGGGGACCTCTGCTCAGTGTGCGGCTATGGTCAGAAAAGCAAAAAAGCTGTTCGGATGCTCAAGGAATGGGATGGAGAATAACACAGAGACTATTGTGGTGCCAATACATCAATCAGTGGGGTGGCTTTGCCTGGATGCCATTGACAGCACAGGTCACCCCGTCTCCAGAAAGATGTTGTAGAATTAGAGGGGTTCAGAGAAGGGCGGTGTGAATGGCTAGGGCCTGAAAAAAAAAAAAAAAAAACTTATATGAAGAGAGATTGCAAAAGGTTGGGATTGTTGCCTTAAAGGGGAGCTGTGTAAGAGGGGGCGTGATGGAAATATGTAAAATACCGAGTGGTCTAGAGAAGGGAGATCGGGAGCTGCTGTTCTCCCTGTCTCATAACATAAGAACAAGGGAGAGTCAGTGAAATGGAGAGAGGGAGAATTCATAATTGATTAAAGGAAATACTTTGCCATACATTTTGTCATTAGCCAGTGGAACTCACTGCCACAGGATGTTGTTGAGGCCATCGACCTAGCAAGGTTCAAAAAGAAACTGGACATTTTCACCATTAACAAGAATATCCAGAGTTATAACAGTCAGTGCTAACAAAGGTAGCAGGGATATTAAACCTCCCGCTGAAGGGGTTAAGCCAGCCTCTAGTAGAGACCAGGATGACACCTAATGTGGGGGGAGATTATACCATGTCTCCTGTGAGGCTCTTATAGCTTCTTCTGCAGCATCTGGTGCCAACCACTGTCAGAGGCAGGAGATTGGGCTAGCTGGATCTGGGGTCTGATCCAGACTGGCAGTTTCCTTGTGAATCCCAGCCCAAGTGTACAGGGTGTGTTTACGCCGGGTGACTGGGGTCTAGACCACGTCAGCCAGTCCCAGCGTTTCAGCCATTAAGACCTGGGAGTTTCGTTAACAACTGGCCTGGGTATTCCACAGTGTCTGTGTTTTAGCTGCTGTAGGTGGAGGAAACCCCAAGGTCCAGATCCCAGCTGGTGTAAATCAGCTATAGCTCCAGTGGAGTCAGTGGGCCAGATCCCCAGCTGGGCTCAATGGGCCATCACTCCAGAATCTTTGTGGTGGCTATTTCTCACCTCCAAAACTGTACGGCACAAACCTCCAGGGTGGTGGAAAGTCCCTAAGGAAGTAATAAAGCCCCCTGTGACTGTAGCCCACACCACAGCCCTTCTCTATCCCCCTCTTCCCATCGCAGCCCCTCTCTTTCCCCCTCGACAAATACCAGAGACCTCTTTAACCATAAAATGGGGGAGGCCCCACAATCCCCTTTTGAATCTTAATGAAGCTATGGGACATTCTTTCACTCGGCCCTGCAGGGGGAGGGAGGCGCTATCAAAAGGCCTATAGAAAGCTTTTCATGCTGCTGCCTGATGAGGAAAACATCTCGCCCCCCTCCCCAGAAATCCCTTTCTTGGCCATTTAATTAGCGTGGTTCTCGCCCTTTGTCTGGCTTTGCCATCGGCCTTCTGTCGCCGTTCGCCCGGGCCTGTGACCCCTCCGGGAAACTTTCCCATGATAGGGAGCGGGAGGAAAGGGCCACGGGAACAAAAGGGGCTGTGAATGGTTCGAAGACTCAGGCAGGGTTTCTAAAGACTGAGAGAAAAGGGACGCGGGGAGGAGGGGGTGGGGGGCATGTCTCTAGATTAGAGGATTCTCTGGCTAGGCCTTGGTCTGTCGCTACGGCAACTGTTGTCCGGCTAGGAAGGTGCCCGGTTCTGGCTCGCCCTCCTCTGTTGCTGTGGTGCCGCCCCCATGAATGAAATCGATCTCCCTGCTTCCCCCCGCCCTAAGCCGTGTCAAAAGTCCAGCCAGGAAATGGCACATTCTGACTCGGCCGGGCGCGCCGGTGCCCTGGCGTTGTGCCGCCCGACCCCTGTATCTCGCCGGGGAGCTGTCTCTCATTCCGCAGCCTCGCGCGGCCGTTTGTCCCTTCCAAGGCTGCAGAATAGGACGCGGGCCTCCCCCCGTGCAAAATGTGGGGGGCTGTTTTGCCATCGTCGCCCCCTAGAAGCCCCACTTCTTCTCCTGGCCCTCCAACACCACTTAGCCCTTCAGGGGCATAAGCATTGATGGAGAAAGTGGGCAAAGCAGGCCTCACTGGGACACTAGCAAGAAACGCAGGGCGTGGAGGGGAGAGAGAGGGACACCCGTTGTGGGCTCAGCTGACCCCACTGGCAATGAGCGGTACATGGCCAGCCAGCCATCTGCGACGGCGCCTATGTCTGCAATTTCCTGGTCTCAGCCTGGTTGGCAGCAAACGCTGGACACGAGAGTGGGTGGTGTAGTGGGGCCTCTGCCCTCTGGGTTCTGCCTTGTGCCCAGAGCACCCCTCAGTGGTATATTTCCCCAAGTCTTGTTGCAGCGTCGTCTTTTCCTCTCCGTCATTCCCTCTCATGTAGTGCAGTCGTTAGGCTCAGTGCTGGCCCAAGGTCTTGTGATGTTCAGTCCCTGCGCCGAGGTCCGGGCCAGAACAGCACTGCCGCCCCCAGAGCTTGGTTGCGGTTCCAGGTCTGATAGATGGCAGCCCCGCCAGCCCTAGACATGATCTCTTGAATGAGTAGGAGATGGGCGTATCAAAATCCCATTGCCCGGATTACCATGGTGCTCCTGCTGTGTCGGTCCTGGCGGAAGAGCTAGCCCCGGAAAACAGGGCTGTGCACCATCTGGGCATAACTGGAGCTTTCTGCTGCTGTCAGGCTGCCACGGACACGTCTGAAGTGCGTGTGTGGGTGGAGCAGTGGCCTGAGGTGATTTTTAGGGCCAGGTACGGAGCTTAGAAAGACGCTGGAGGGTCAGTGCAGTTGTCATCAGGACAAGGACATTTTTGGGGCAAGGCCTTGTGGGGACTAGAGATCTCTAGCCTCTGCCCCACATTCCCCTCAGCTTGGCGTTGTGTCTGGTGGCTTTATTTCCAGATCAAGTGATGAGTGTCTCTCCCACCCCTCCAACTCTCTGTTCCTACCCAGATTGGGTGCACACCCTGGCTCACGTATGCACATGCCGGCCCCTGCCAGACCAGGTTGGCTCACAAGGTGTGTGAACTGCAGGATGTTAGCCGGAGGTGAAACCTGCTGGTCTGGTTGGGTCACGTGAACAATCACAGTTCCCATCCCCTGCAAGGTGCAGTCTGGAGAGGAGAGGACGGGTGGCTGCGGGCCGCCTGGTGGGAGCTGGGGGCAAGGCATCCTGGGAAAGGGAATGTGCCATCTGCCCTTGCTGTGCCAGCCCCCTTCTCCAGTGTGTGTGTGTGGGGGGTGTCTTGTGAACTTGGGAGCCCAGCCACATTCGCTCCCTGGTTTGCTGAGCCCCTTGTGTGGAGCCATTCTGGCCGGCGGACCTCGGATCACTCAGCCTACCCCGGCCCCAGACCATGTCCCCTGCTTTTGGGGTTCTCCGCTGTCCATTGACGTTCCTGCTCCCTCTGTTTGGAGGGCTCCTGTGTGCTCCTCGCTGGCCCGTGGTGGGGGATGGTGGCCTGAGACAGGGGAGCCTCTGGGAACCGGTGGTCCATGCATTGCACTAATCAGTGGGGCAGGGGCTTTCTCCAGGGGGATGAACCCACAGTGAATTCTGACCCCCCAATTCCTTCCCCTCAGGGTCCCCACCGTCCCAGTGAAGAACCTCAACGGCTCGAGCCCTGTTAACCCCGCGCTGGCAGGTGAGGGAGCCAGCCGGTCGGGCCAGCCTAGCGTGACTGAGCAATAAAGACCTCTGGGGGCAGGGGGGAAGACCCACACTTCTGGGGCTGGTGTGGGCTGTGGGCTTTGGGCAGCACCTGTGTAGAAGGGGATGGGGGCTACTGGACAAGCCTGTACCCCAGAGGAATGGAGGCAGAGAGTGATATTGGCCCCTTGGTTGTAAGGGGTGGGTGGGGAGGGTCCCTGTTCTAGGTAGGGGATGGAGAGCACCATTGGCGGGCATATGTGCTTCATATGGCAGCAGGAGAGGGGTCTCATAGGCCGCTGTTTAGGAGCGAGTGGGGTTGGGGTGTCTGCTTCATGAGGGTGCTGGGGTGTGGGGGATTCACGGGGTGGGTCTGGGTCTGTTAGAGGCAAAGTGGGGCTTCGGGCCGCTGGCCAGAAGGGCTTGTGGGGGGTGCCTGGGGTTCATCGGAGCTGGCTTCTCAGGGCCTTTCCCCATCTTTCTCCGCCAGGGATCACAGGGATCCTCATGAGCGCGGCGGGGCTGCCCGTGTGCCTCACCCGCCCCCCCAAGCTGGTGCTGCACCCCCCACCCGTCAGCAAGAGCGAGATCAAATCCATCCCGGGCGTGGCCAACACCTGCCGCAAGACCACCAAAAAGCAGGCCAAGAAAGGTGAGCGCGAGCCCTTACCCAGAGCCTCTGGGCGTCCGCACGTCCCTAGCGGGAGCCCCTTCCTGTCCCCATGTCCTGCTAATCTCCCCATCAGGGGAAGCCCTTCCCATCTGGTGCCATTCACCCCAGCCTCATTGCACAGCTTCTCCTCCCCACAGGGCTCTGTCCCCACTCATCCCTCCCTGGCCCACGGCGCCCCTTTCCTAGGGTGCCTCATGTCTCCACAGCCGCGTTCAGGGCAGTGTAACTCTAGCCCCAATGTGCCGGTTCTCTTCCTCCCTGCCCCAGGTAAAACCCCGGAGGAGGTGCTGAAGAAATACCTGCAGAAGGTGCGTCATCCTCCGGACGAGGTGAGAGCAGGTTGCCGTCTGTCAGGGCGTAGGGTGTCTCTGTCTTGGGCTAGGTCTTCACTGCCAAAATCTCTGTAGTTCTGCAGTGCGTTAGCGCTCTGGCTGTACAATCCTGGAGAAGACAAGGCACAGGTAGATTTGACCTCAGTGTAGCTGGTCAAAGTCGATGACCCACCCCCCCCACCCCCCCCGCGCCACACACACACCCCTCCGCCAGCTACAGCAAGATCAGAGCCACGTCTACACCAGGCTCGTACAGCGCGCTGGAGCTGTCCCGGGTTGGTTATCGTGCCATGCAAACACCCCCTTTTGGGTGAGTTGTGAGGAAAGGTTGCTCACGCTGTATGTGAGGTGTAGGGGGTTGCATGCTGTGTGCACGTTGTCCGGGTGGGTGTAAGCACGTGGCAGAGTTGCACTCGGGGTGTTGCGTAGCTGCTTGCTTCTGGCTGTCGGTGTGTCTTCAGGAAGGGGATCCTCGCGCCGGCAAACAGGGCTAGGCTGATATCACTGGAGCTCACATCTGCCTGTCCTTCCGCAGAGCAAGGCCAGCTCTGGCTTCCCCCGCCAGTGGGACCTGACCTTACCCTGGTGACGGGGCTCTGATTCCTGGTTAGCCTCGCCTCCCCTCTGAGCCTGCGTGGTGGTTGTTCTTGCCCAGTGGGGCCTGGGCTGAGACATGCACTCCCCTCCCCCCCAACTTGGCTCATATACATTGGCCTGCATGCTCAATCACTCCGAGCCTGGGCTGGATTCAGACCAGGTCCATGTCTCCGTCTGACTCGATTTTCTCCTCTCTCTGCCTCCTCCTCCTCCGCTCCCCCAAGGACTGCACCATCTGCATGGAGCGCCTCTCCACCCCGTCTGGCTACAAGGGGCCCCAGCCAGTTGTCAAGCCCGACCTAGTGGGGAAGCTGTCCAAGTGTGGCCATATCTACCACCTCCACTGCCTGGTCGCCATGTACAACAACGGCAACAAGGTGCGTGGTGGGCTCTGGGAGAGGTGGGCGTGTGCTCGGCCAGCTGCCACTAGGGGGCCCCAGCGAGGACTGGGTCCTAACATAGAACGGAGGTTGTACGTGGGGTTGGATGCTGAGCCAATCAGATTGCTTGCCTGGGGCTGAATCCTCCCACTTGATAGGTTGTAAGAGCCCAGGGTTCTCTCTGCCATTTCTCCTGGTGTCTCCCATTGGCTCTGTGGGACAGGAGGGCTTTGCTTAGTCACTTTGCAGTGGGCGCTGATTGACCCTTCCCGAATGCTTGGCTGTCTCTGTAAACATCAGCGAGTCGAGTAGAAACCATTCTCATATCTGGCCATCCCTGCCCCAGAAGGCCTCTTCCATTCTCTTCCCTTAAAGCGTCAGTGAATTTTACACAGCTTTCCCACCATTTTATCCTGTTTCATTAAGACACGTGTCCGTGCTGCAAAGATTATCTGGTTTGCTGCCCTTCATGTGCTGGGCGTGAGGCAGTAGTTAGCGATACAGATGGGGAGTCATGAGACTGTCGCTGATGTGCAGATATGGTTGGAAAATGTCCCCTCACCTGCTGGAGAATTTTTGAGTTTTCGGCCAAAAAAATCTAAAGCTAGAATATCTTGGCTACAATCAAAATATTTCCATTTGGAAAGTAAGCTGTGGTGCCTCCTGGGAGTTACTTCGTGGGTGCCTTATGATGGCATTCTCCTCTACTGGCCATGCCACCTGGTTGGACTACGTCTCTCCTGTTGCATCGTCTCTCCTGTTGCATCGTGGTCTCCTTGTCTTGGTGAGGGGAGGCGGTTGCATCAGGACTGGTGTATAGCCACGATGCATCATGGGAGTTGAAGTCCAGCTGAGGAGCCCAGCCCATAGAAGAGAATGGGAGCATAAGACAGCTGAAATTCAACTCAAATAAGGTCCCTGCTCTGTGCCTCAGTTTCCCCATCTGTACTACAGAAGGTATTGTGAGTAGACCTGGGTGAATCATTGAATTATTTTTTTTTGGTTCGCTGACTGTTCTGAAACATAAAATTAAAAAAAATGGTTTGGGTCAAGCTGAATTTGAAAATTTTTGCCACATCAAAACTGTTTGTTTTGGGTCGAATGAAATGTTTTAGCAACCCAGAACGTTTTGTTTCTGTGCATTTTTAAAGGTCTAGAGCTGTGGTACTCAACCAGGGGTTCACGTATCCCTGGGGGTTTGCAGAGGTCTTCCAAGGGGTACATCAACTCATCTAGATATTTGCCTAGTTTTACAACAGGTTACATAAAAAGCACTAGTGAAGTCAGTACAAACTAAACTTTCATACAGTGACTTGTTTATACTGCTCCTTATACTATACACTGAACTGTAAGTACAATATTTATATCCCAATTGATTTATTGTATAATTAAAGGTAAAGATGAAAAAGTCAGTAATTTGTCAGTAATAGTGTGCTGTGACACTTGTATTTTTATGTCTGATTGTGCAAGTTTTTAAGTGAGGTGAAACCTGGGGGTACATAAGACAAATCAGCCTCCAGAAAGGGGTACAGTAGTCTGGAAAGGTTGAGAACCACTGATCTAGAGTCACAAAATGGCCGGAGAAGGAAGCATTGGTGCCACCTCCCTTAAAAGCTTTTCCCCAGGAGTTAGGACACTCCCCTGGATTGTGGGAGACATGGATTCAATTCCCCTCCCTCCCCACCGCCTGATCAAAAAAAGATTTGAAGTTGGGTCTCTCACATTGCAGAAGAGTGTCCTAATGGGCACTGGGACAGGTCGGTGTGTCTCTCTCTCTCTCTCCCTCTCTCTCTCTCTCTCTCTCTCTCTCTCTCCTTGAAAACAATTCATGCAGATGACCATTGATCAATGTGTGTTGGGAAGAAGATGCGTTCAATGTATTCTACGGAAGGTTGAACTTTTTCTCATGAAAAATGGCTTTTCAAACCAAACACAAATTTTTGTTTGGTTTGAAATTTTCTGGGGAATCAAAAATTTTTTGCTTCATTTTGATTTCCATTTTTGGGTTTTGTCCCCCCACTGAGAAAAGGGAGGGAAAGGCGTGAGGAAGAAACATGAAACTCAGAACGAAACTTTTCGGTTTTAAATTAAATGGGGGAGAAAAGGAAATTGTTTAGTCAAAAAAGCTGAAAAAATTCCATAAACGCTTTTGAAAGAAACAAAGAACGTTTCATTCTCAATCAGTTTATGGGAAAAACCATTTTTGATCATATACTACTTCCTAATCAAGGTGTGGGGGGAGTGTGTGTGGTTCAGTAGAGGGGTGTGCGGGGGGGGATTGGAGGAATGTCAGCCTGACAACAGTAAAAGTGAAGGATTTGATTTGGTTTCTTTCTCTCCTTTCTTCCTTCCTTGCTCTTGTTCTCAGGATGGGAGCTTGCAGTGTCCAACCTGCAAAACCATATATGGGGTGAAGACTGGGACTCAGCCCCCTGGGAAGATGGAATATCACCTCATCCCTCACTCGCTGCCTGGGCACCCTGACTGTAAAACCATTCGGATCATCTACAACATCCCTCCGGGGGTCCAGGTGAGACCCCAGCTCTACAAGAGGGAGGGGGTGTGTGTGACGCTTCCCAGAGTTACCTGGGGTCGGGAGGCACTTTGCTATCACCTGCCCTTAGTGTGAGAAAACCTTGTCTGTGCCTGCCAGGGGTCAGCTCCCTGCCTCCACAGGCAACACACACAATCCTCACTAGGCCTCGCTGGCCCCCCGGCACTCAATGGCGTAGCGATAGGCACACTCCAGCCTTGAACCCTCTGAGCATCTCCCTGAAGCATCCAGCCCCTGCTCCGCTAGACACTCACAAAATTCACAGATTCGCTGCTCCCAGTTTACCAGATCATAGAATCATAGAATATCAGGGTTGGAAGGGACCTCAGGAGGTCATCTAGTCCAACCCCCTGCTCAAAGCAGGACCAACCCCTAGACATCTCCGGTCATGGCTCCGTGAAACACACAGCAATGAGACAAGCATGTTGTGAAAACAAGCCAAAGCTTATTTAACAAGGCATAAGAACGGCCATCCTGGGTCAGACCAATGGTCCATCTAGCCCAGTATCCTGTCTTCCAACAGTGGCCAATGCCAGGTGCCCCAGAGGGAATGAACAGAACAGGTAATCATCAAGTGATCCATCCCCTGTCGTCCATTCCCAGCTTCTGGCAAACAGAGGCTTCAGACACTATCCCTACCAATCCTGGCTAATAGCCATTGATAGAGCTATCCTCCATGAATTTATCTAGTTCTTTTTTGAACCCTGTTATAGTCTTGGCCTTCAGAACATCCCCTAGCAAAGAGTTCCACAGGTTGACTTTGCGTTGTGTGAAGAAGTACTTCCTTTTGTTTGTTTTAAACCTGCTGCCTATTAATTTCATTGGGTGATCCCCAGTTCTTGTGTTATGAGAGGGAGTAAATAACACTTCCTTCCTTTCTCCACACCAGTCATGATTTTATAGACCTCCATCATATCCCCCCTTAGTTGTCTCTTTTCCAAGAGGAAAAGTCTCAGTCTTGTTAATCTCTCCTCATATGGAAACTGTTCCATGCCCCTAATCATTTTTGTTGCTCTTTTCTGTACCTTTTCCAATTCCAATATAGGCACGGAGATTCAAATGAAAGCAAGTAGAAAGTTTGGAAACAAAAGGTTACATCTAAAGTAAAATCATAACATGTGTTCGATAACCTAGACTGAGTCAGCTAAAGCTCCCCCCCAAAGCCCTGCCAGTGTTTTTCAGCCAGGCCTGGCTGTGATCCTTTTCCCATGAGGCAAGTCACGCTTGTGTCCTCAGTAAAGAACGCTGGGGGTACCTCTGCCCCCCCTCCCCCCCCCCCCGCAGATATACCCTGACAATCTGTCATCAGTACTTGTAGACAGGATCCCTTGTATATTTCCTTACTTGATTAGCATCTTGGCTATGTATGCAGATAGATCTGTATTGTGAAGCAGACAACAGACAGTGCTCAGCCTGGGATGGTCTGAGGCACGTCACCTGTTTACCCACTGTGACGGGTTCCCCCCGGGGCGCCACCTGGAACTTTGGTACTACTGAGCCCTCTGACCCCCCAGCCGGGGCTGCCTCTCACACGGCCGCTGTGACACGCGGCAGACCCGCTCCCGGTCCTACACTTCCTCCAGCATTCACACAGGCAGGGACACACCCAGCTGCAGTTACATGCAGGCTCTGACCAGCCACTGCATGAACCAACACTAGAGAGGCTACAGCCAAAATAACGACCAGCTTCCCAGCCTAGGAACAACCCCAGAGGAGTAGAAACCCGAAATGATACCATCTTCCACTGTAAGCTCATAGCGTCCCCCCTCCCTCAGTGTGGAGAGGAAATGCACCAGCCCCTGAGCTAAGATTCCCAAACACTCACTCCAAACTTACTGGTTTAGATTAAAACATAAAATAAGTTTATTAATTACAAAAGAGAGATTTTAAGTTGTTATAAGTGATAGCAGATCAAAGCAGCAGTGGCGTAGCCAGGATCTAAGAGCAGGGGGAGCAAACATAAAAAAGGCGCCCCCCCCCCATTGGCTGCCGGCCGCGCTGCAGGCTGCCCTGCTGCACCCCTCCCTCACTCCTCTGGTCGTGCCGCCCCCTCCCCATGGGTCCTCCGGCCGTGCTGCCCCCCCTTGCCTATAGGAGGTCAGCGCCGGCCAGCAGGCGCGCCGCTTTTTGAAAACGTGCTGAGGGGAAGTGGCTGCTTCCCCTGCACCCCACTAGCTACGCTACTGCAAAGCAAATTACCTAGTAAATAAACAAAAACGCAGACTAAGCTCAGCATACTAGAAAGATAGGATTTGCATTAAGTCTCTCACCCTGATGGATGATACAATCAGGCTGCAGATTCTTAAGGCACAAACTGCACTTGCTTTGCAGCTTGGAATCCCCAGGTTTTCCTACACAGGCTAGAAATCCCTTTAGCCTGGGTCCAGCACTTCCCCCAGTTCAGTCTTGTTCCTCGGGTGTTTTCAGGAGTCTTCTTGTGTGTGGAGTGAAGAACAACAGATGATGTCACTCCCTGCCTTATATAGCCCTACCATATGGCGTGACTCTTTTGTCCCAAAATCAGTTTGTGGAAAAACACGGACATCCCCAAGATGGAGCCCAGAGTCATGTGGCCTGGTTACCTTGCTGAGACATAGCAGCCATTACTTACAGGCTGTCTGGAACATTCACAGGAAGGTTAAGTTCTTCCAGGGTCCCTTGTCTTTGCTGATGGGCCATCAGCACTGTCTGGCTTCTTCATTGTTGTACCAGAAAGGCTAGTTGTGGGTGTCGCCCAGATTAAGCAGGATGGACATACAGATACATAGTCAATATTCCTAACTTTAGATACAAAAATGATACATGCATGCAAATAGGATAATCATATTCAGAAATTATAACTTTTCCATTGACACCTCACATGACCTGTCTTGTACAAAATGCATCATAATTATGGCCTTATCATATCAGCATATCACTGTGAGGAATATGGGGTGCAATGTCACACCCGCCTTAACTCTCATATCTTGATTACATAATTTTCAGTGTAGATACATAACCCCTTAAATAGTATCTGTACGTATGTGTCACGGCGATCGTGATGACCAGTGGGCGGCTGGCGCTCTGTAGAGACCTCGTATGCCACCCTTTGGTGAATTATTATGCAGCTACCCGACTCGGGGATCCCTATAAAACCCGATGCACCCCCTGTGCCCCCTGCCCACTGGCCTCAGGAGATCCCTGGATCACAGCGGATGGGTGTGGGGGGCGCCTCTCGTGAGAGCAGTTGCTGTATTGACGCGTGCGGCTGCCTTGGTGCAGCCATGGCGAGATCTCTGCGATGACTCCATACCCCAAGGGATGTCTCTGGTTGTGACCCAGTTCCTGGAGGGGACGATCGCGCTGGCACAGCAGCTGTCTTGTGCTTGGTGATGGCGCGTGCGCTAGAACCAGCCGTGTTTGGAAGCGCTGCCAGCCGAGAAGGCTGAGTGGGGAGCTCAGGGGAATGTCTCTCCGCAGGGCCCCGGCCCCCTTGCTGGGCACCCTCCTCTCCCCGCAGGGGGCTTGTAGCAGATCCAGCAGTGGGTGACGGGGGCACTGGAGGGCCCTGCAGTTATGTAGCCCTGCAGCTGGGGGTGCTGTGATGACTCAAGATTAAACAGCTCTTATGCACCCTCTCAAGATCCCAAAGGATGCCATTTCTCTCTCCCTCTGCACAGGGACCAGAGCACCCGAACCCCGGGAAAAGCTTCACAGCCCGCGGATTCCCCCGACACTGTTACCTCCCGGACAGCGAGAAGGGCCGAAAGGTGAGGGGTGTCCTGCCAGTGTTCCCTCTAATTTTTCCCACCCATGTGCGGAATGAATTTTGTTACGTGCGCCAATATGGAGCCGATGTGTGACCCATCACCTTCATATTGATGCACATAACAAAATTCGTGGGTGTGGGGCCAAGGGGTTCGGAGTGTAGGAGGGGACTCAGGGCTGGGGCAGACGGCTGGGGGTGCGGGCTCTGGGGTGGGGCTGGGGATAAGGGGCTCAGGGCTGGGGCAGAGGGTTGGGGGCTGTGTGGGGGTGCGGGCTCCGGCTAGGGGTCATTGGATTATGATGGGGATCATAGCCTGGCGTGTGCGTCCCTGACACAAGCTCCTCTTAGGAGATGAGCTTTCAGCCCTGGGATGTACCACCTCCTTTCACTTGGTCTCCTGCAAAAGACCTAAGATGCCAGGAGCCCCCCATTTCAGTGACATCTCTAATGGACGATCGAGGCCTTTTCAGAGGCTGTGGGTTCATGCCAGACAAAGCCCCCATATACTCCACAGCGAGCTAAATCCAGCAGCGCTCTGTGCGCAAGAGACCAGATACAACGTCAGTTGCAGACCATTTAAAAAACAACCCCCAAAATTGAACCATGGAGGGGTTTTTTTTTATTGAATTTTGATATGGAAATAAACTCAGATTTGTTTTGTGCTGCCTCAAAATTTGCTGATAACATGTTGCCGCATTTTGTATGGAAAACTCAGTGCCTTGCAAAATCTGTCATGTGAGGCAGCTGGAGGTTTTGGTTGGGGAGCCAGGTTGGTGGTGGTGGGGATATGCACATCAGCTGGATGATCAGCTGTGAAATAGTTAACAGCGTTATCATGTTATCGATCATCATTATGTTTCAGAGTTAACAGCACAATGGGATGAACCACGCCACTCGCGCTTGGGAGAGGCTGTGTGCAGACTCCAGCCTGTCTTGGGGTGGGCTCTCAGCTGCTTCTGTATTAACCCTTTCCCTCCTGCGCTCCCCCAGTTGCTGAAGCTGCTGCTGGTGGCCTGGGACCGCCGCCTGATCTTCGCCATCGGTACCTCCAGCACCACAGGCGAGTCGGACACGGTGATCTGGAACGAGATCCACCACAAGACCGAGTTTGGCTCTAATCTCACGGGCCACGGCTACCCCGACGCCAACTACCTGGACAATGTGCTGGCCGAGCTGGCGGTGCAGGGCATCACGGAGGAGAGCACGGCCCAGGAGAAGGACTGAGAACAGGGGGAGGGGAGGAGATGGCATTCCTTTGTGGTGGGAGCAGCACCCCACACTCATCTCCTCCTCCCTGCCCCGGTGCCTGCATCCTCCTCCTCCCGCTGCTGTGACGCTCAGAGGGCACCAGTCGCACCATTGAGATGTGTGGCTTGGGGTTGGAGCAGAGGAGGAGGCCCACGGTGCCTCGTCAATGGGCATATCTGTGGGGCCGGTCTCCCAACATGGGCGCTGCCCCTCACCCAAGGTTACGTTAATCTTGTTGCACTTGGCTGGGAAGGGAGGGGGGATTGAACCGCTAAACCCTGTGAAAATGAACTGCCTCTTAGGGCACTACCCAGCAGGAAGTGCTCCCGTCCCATAAGGCAGCTCCGGCACCACGTGGGCGCCGCTGCAAAGGCCTGTGGGAATGCCAAGGATTCAAACCAGTCGTCGTCTTGCCCGGTTAGGAGACTGGTTGTGTGTTGTCATGTCACTGCTGCTTTCATGTTGTGGGCTCAGTGTGAGTTGGAAATGTGCTGTTTGCAGGTCTGGTACCCCCCCTCCCAACCCACCTCACCCTCCCAGGCCTGCCTCCCCGATCCCATCCCACATCGGGTCAGAGCCAGGCCTGCTGCCTGCTCGGATGTGAGCCTTGGGGGAAATGAGGTGGAAATCCCGTCTCCTTGATATGTTCCAAACTGGGTCAGGGCCGGAACTAGCTGGGTACGAGTCTCCTGGCACCAGTCCTTAGTGGGCTGGAGCAGAACGAGTTCGGCCACTATGTGAACGGTACTAGAGCAGGGGACGGGAATCCGTGATGGACGGATCAGAACCAGGCCCGGTCTTCTCCGGGTCCCTCTTCCCCTCCCACTCTCCCTAATCCATTCTCACCTGGGTCAGAACTAGTCCAGCTGGCTCAGCCTTGTCCAGTGGGGTGTGGGGGAGAGAAATCCTCCAGTACTGGCTCAGAACCACGTCTGGTTCTCCCTGTCTCAGTGAGTGTCATTTACTGCAGCCCCGTCCAGAACTGTGTGAGCTGATCTCCTTGTACCTGTGAAGGAACCGTGCCCCAGGGATGGCTCTGTCTGGTCAGACCTGGTGGGGGTGAGTTGTTATGAGGGGAGGTCCAATTCTCCCCCCCTCTCCCCCCATAAGTTGGGTTCTTTGAACTGTTTGTATGGGGGAGTCCCCCGGATACTGATCTGAATTTATATACCTCATGTTTTGGGGGTTTGTCGTATATATGTACATATATCTATCATGTCACGCTTGAAGATGACGTTGGCGCTAGGACGCTTAAAGGAAACGGTACTTAAGTTAGACCTGGAGGCCAAGTCCGCTGGCACTGGCCGTTCACCACGGCATGGGGGCGAGGCAAGCTGGGCGGCCATCTTGAAACAGAGGCGCCCAGTCAGGCTTGGCCACATTTCAAAATGGCCACTGCACGCCCCTCAGGAAAGTGGGGAAAGGGCACAAATACACACGCTCCCATTAGTGTGACTCTGTGCTGTGTGTGTGTGTGGGGGGGGGGCAGTTCTGAGTCCTCCCATGCCAAGATCCAGTCTCCTCTGGCTGGCAGCAATGGGAGGCCTTGGAGAAACACCTGGCCAGGGGTTAGCCCCCATGTTGGGGAAACAGGAGCCCAGTAAAATCTATAGAGCATCTAGGGTGACCAGATGTCCCAATTTTATTGGGACAGTCCCGATTTTGGGGTATTTTTCTTATATAGGCGCCTATTACCCCCCACCCCTGTCCCGATTTTTCACATTTGCTGTCTGGTCACCCTGAGAGTATCCATAACCCTGCTCAGCCTCTGTGGTGCTGCCACCTAGTGGCCTCTTTGCAGCTAGTGAGTGAGGTGGGTCCCATGGGCTATGCCCCAGGTCTCATCCCTGTTGTGAGCTGGGGAAGGGGTGGGTGAGGTGGTTCCCTGCTGGGATCCTGACCCTCTCCTGTCTAGTTGCTTAGGTCTTTGGCTCCTTGGGCTTTCCTGGCTTGAGGATTTTCCCCTTGCAGCCCTTGTGAAGTCCCTGTGGAGCAGATGCAGAGGAAATGGGGCCAGGTGATGTGGCTGAGTGGGGGCAGGTGAGGCAGGAATGGGGAGGGATAGGAGTTGCGATTGGCTGCAGATGGGG